ATGATGACATGAATAGCAACTTTATAAAATGGCTGGAAACACAAGTTTTACCAAATCTGCCACCTAATTGTGTGATTGTGATGGACAATGCGCCATATCATACTGTACAAATAAATGAAAGCCCTAATATGGCAAGCCTCAAAATAGACATGGTAGAGTGGCTTCAAAACAAGAGACTATTGTTTTTACCAAATTTGCCAAAAAATGTTTTATATGAATTAATAAAAAAAAAACAGATCCTATATATAAAGCTGACGAATTAATAAAATCACATGGTCACAAGGTTTTACGACTGCCCCCATATCATGCGGATTTAAATCCAATTGAGCTAATATGGAGTGTTGCGAAGAGACGGTTCGCAGAAAAAAATGTGGACCAGAGAGATGATCAAGTGGAATCACTTATAAAAGAAACGTTTAGCTCAATAAGCGAAGAGCTTTGGAAAAAAGAGTGCTCTCATGTTATAAAAATTGAAGATGAGTACATAGGGAAAGACAAAATAATAGATGAAGGAAGTGATCGCTTTTTATTGTGGGTTGGCAGTGACAGTGATGAAAGTGGTAGTGACAGTGAGTATTCAAGTGACAGTGATGAAGATATGATCTCTTTACACCTTATTGATCATAATTATATAAAGTGATTCTTTTTAAACATGTCTGAATTTTATCCTGAATGTTCCTATTTATATGTGAATTATTTCAGAGATTACACTATGACACTTAAAAACATGAGTATGGTCATTATACACATGAGTAAAGTCATTAGTATCATATCCATAATGCCTGTCCCTACATTTTGGGAATCCTATTCACATTGAAACATGCAACACTGTAAATTACAGTGCTGCCAATCGAATTACGCGTCAAGTTACGATGAACGGACAATACCTACCGCATTTTATAAAATACGGCGCGTACGGTGCCACTGTAATGTGCGAGGTTTCATATGATTTCATATAACGAATCCTAAAATGGGGCGTGTACGGCTCGTGCTGTGCGTACGGTACTGCCAAATGTGCATTCACCTTTAAAGGTCTGAAAAAATCGTTCCATTGAGAAAATGTTTGTTCGTAATTGTACAAACGCAATATATTATGAACATTTTAAAACTTGTTAGAAATATACCTACTTTATTGTATGCCAAAACCAAATAAGAGAAAAAAAATATTTAAAGGTACAATTGGCGGTCTTATCGCTTAGAGGCTTAGAAGCGATCTCTACCAGGCAACTACATTGCAGAGGATATAATGACCTGTAAAAAAGGGTAAGGGTACGTAAGTTGTTAGCATGTGGCGTCGCTGTCGTCGCGTCACATGCGAAACACATCGAGGCCTAAATCGCGCTATCAAAGTTCCGAAAAAAAAAATATATATATATAGCTTTGAACTACCACGCCTGCGCCCCCCTTTCCTCAAGGGGGCCTTCCCAGGCCAAAGTCAGTCCTATGTGGTGTTTAGTGGGTAGGCACTCTAGGTCCTACAGTGAGTCCCACATAACCACGCAGTCGACTGCGTGGTATGCTTTGAGCATTCACCACCTACCTTCTCCGCTTCCCGGCGGGTAGCTCTTTACTTTGCTCCTGGGCGCAAAAAAAAACTACCACTCTGAGCGTTAGCCGCTCCACGGGCAGAACACCTTGGGCGGCGGGAGATATCCCCTTTTTTTTCCACGGCCACACATATATAAAAGCAGAAAGGAATAACAAGTGAAATAAAAGCCATAACGTAAGAAAAAATTAGTAATTTTTGAATAATAGCAATTATCAAGCAATCTCAAGGAGAGATAGAAGAATAACAATTTAAGGAGGAAAGAAGTGTGTTGTCAAGTTTATGAAACTTTTCAATATATGATATTCAATATATAAATCAGTATCACTCTCAACGTATTTTACGGCAATTATTCATACCCTGTAGCTACTCGAGCGCTGGTTTGGAGAGTTTTTTGAACTGTTATTTACTGCTTACAGATGGACACATTTTCTACTATTCTCCCATAGATTACTGTGTATTCTCCTATGGAAGATTGTCCTACTTACCTCCATACTCCATGATTATAATTATTTAAATTTCATGCAAGTGGCAACATTTTGTATTCATACATGACAGCAGCGATAAACAACTGCTACATAAAGTAAAAATTATAAATAAAAAAAATATAATCTTACTGTAACACAAATTATATGTTTCTGTGAAAAAATAAAGAAATTTGATTCATCTGAATGGTAAGTTTATTGAAATTAGTCGTTGCATCTATGACGTAGCATTTCAAATATGTCTCGGATTATCCATGAATTAACTGGTTGTGTACAATTATCAAACTAATTCATATTTTGTTATTACCTAAAGAGAATTGAAAAAAATCATTTACACGAAATAGTTATGCTACATCGAACTTCGATTTCAAGTTACCAACTTTTACTTGTACTTCAATTTTGGTAATGCATTTTATGACTCATTTTCCTGCTTTAAGATTCTATTTTGAAGTAAGAAAGCTTAAACATAACTACATAACTAAAGGTGTCAAATTAATGAAATTTAGAAAGTTATGAGAAAATTAATCAATTCAATCTCCTTCCAGATGATGTTCGTATTTATAAAAGTAGAATGTCTTTTGTTTTCTAATTTAATAATTAGTGGTTTATTAAGATGTAGTGTGAATGAATAATGAAAATACTTCCTACTAAAATCCTTTGGTAACTTAACCCCTTTTCTGGCGACCGACCAGATTCTGGCCGATGGTTTATTACGCACGTCTGGCAAGCTACCAGTTTCTGGCAGTAAATTATGAAAGATGTGGCATTACTCAATTCGTACATTTAAATACAGTGGACACTTTGAGTACCACTTTAACAAATCTTCGGCCCATCCCTAGTTTTTACACCTTTTTCACAAAAAAAATTCCTTTTTCGTTTTTCGTTCGTTCGTTAAGCCTGAATAACTGAGACTCCAAGCCAAACCATGAGTGATGAAGGATAATGTGCTCGTTGAACCCTCAGAATATGCGTGCTGGCTTCTTCACTGCTGTGGGCATACACCTTATCATTTTATTTATTATAACTTACTTCAATGTTAAAAAAAATTTCATCCGAAAACAAAATTTGGTAGTAGGCCAGTTTATAAGCTCATAGTCCTAGGTCTTCATTGATCATTCATCTAGCCTGTATTCAAAAATTTCAAGTAATAAAGTTTTGATGGAACTTATGGCCCAACTAAGTATATAATTTTTAAATTACATTAAAACTTTTTCAACTATTTTATCCTACAATTTAAATGGCCCGACTGCGTATGAATCAATTGTAGGTAATTATTTCAAGCAGGTAGCAAGAGTGACAGAAGCTTGCTTGATGTGTCATATAAGATCACAATTGTTTTAACTGCTATGTGGTTCTTCCGCAATGAAATAGGTGTAGATATAATCTATTATTAAACCAAAAATTAAGCCGACAAAAATTATATAAAAACATAGAATTTTAAGCTGTTCAAATTTATTTTAAAATTCAATTTACTCATAATTTATAAATTAATATTATACAAAATATTAATAATTTATTTATTTGTTTATTTGTATGGATCTCCAACACTTGTACATATTAAATTACTTCTAACACATGCTTTATATCTATAAATTACTATGTACTAACATATATAGGAGAACACATCATTCTAAAACAATAGCAGTGTTTATAATTTGCCTATTTTAATGGTATTTTAGTAGTAGTAGACAGATATTATTATAATATGTTGTACAGATGTAAAGTATACATGAAAATTACATAAGAAATTTAGTTCATGCATTGTGTTATTCAATTGTAAAAGCACTTCGATCCTTATCAGGATTAGGATTTCGGATCAATAATATTTGATGACTTATTATGGACGTAAGACATGGTCCTTGACAGCAGGCTGTGTGGAAGCTTAAGCTTATTTGAACTTTTATGATGAAAAAGACAGCTATGCCGACTCCGTTAAGTATCAGCTGATCTTAATTATATAAATACTCTGCAAAATTATGAAGCAGATATCTGCTTCATAATTTTGCAGAGTATTTTTTTAAGCTCTCACCTTATGGCACATAATTAAATAATTTCCGCAGCAACTTCTAATTCGGACCATGCACTATAACATTAGTGAATGGGTTATACCTTGGTCTGATTGGCTGTGTTAAAGACATTTCGAGTGAATGGTCTCTCTTAAAATTCGGAATCTATGGTAACTAGCTCTGGAGTTTCTTGTTTTCCCTACAACACTCTCCTAGTTGCATATCAATGACCTGCTTATGCCTAGTATATGGAGATGACAGCCATCGATTGATATGCAGATGGCACAGCTTTTGTAGAGATATGAGCCAAGTGCTCAGGCCAGTTCAAGAGCAAATTCAGTCTGGAAGAGAGGCTCACACTAACTGTGTTTGAATCTTTCACTGCAAGCAGTCACTACAATACTTTAAACTTCTTTCCTAAGCCTAGAAAATTGATTCAATTAAAATTTTAAGCCAACTGATTTCTAGAGCTATTTAGAAGTTATTTTTAATACAAAAGCACACATATCAGTAGTTTTTACCTTTAGAAATATTATTTGTGTAATCCATTAACCGCTATGCACTTTTCACTGTATTTCTACAGTCCTAGAGGATAAAATAAGAGGATCATAATAGATGGTACAAAAAACCTTTAAAATGAAACAAACTTATTTACATTAATATTATAATATTTGCCATAGTTGACACGCTTTGCAAGCAGGTTGGCAACCCCAGTTTTTTATTTCTAGTTACTATTAGGTAGATGCTGCTGCCCTTCTGATTGGTTTTCCTCTGTCACTTCTTATGACAAACATGGGATGATTTGTTGTAGTGAATATTGTTACACCGCAATTATAAACATTGATTTAATAATAATGTACAGAATTATAGTAGATTTGTCTCTCTAAAATATGTGAAATTTATTTATTATTTATTTATTCACAGATAAACATTTGAGGCAGAATAATGGCATCATCTAATACTTTGCAAAAGGCTATTGACCTTGTGACCAAAGCTACTGAGGAAGATAAAAATAAAAATTATGAGGAAGCTTTAAGACTTTATGAACATGGAGTAGAATATTTTCTTCATGCTGTTAAGTATGAAGCTCAAGGTGAAAGAGCGAAAGAGAGCATTCGTGCTAAATGTTTGCAATATCTGGACAGAGCAGAAAAATTAAAGGAATATCTTAAGAAGGACCGCAAGAAAAAACCAGTTAAAGATGGTGAATCTAATTCGAAAAGTGAAGACAAGAAGAGTGACAGCGATAGTGATTCTGATGACCCTGAAAAGAAGAAACTACAAGGCAAACTGGAGGGAGCCATAGTAGTTGAGAAACCACATGTTAAATGGAGTGATGTTGCTGGTCTTGAAGCGGCAAAGGAGGCTTTGAAAGAAGCTGTTATTCTTCCTATAAAATTTCCACATTTATTCACTGGTAAAAGAATACCCTGGAAGGGAATTTTGTTGTTTGGTCCACCTGGTACTGGTAAGTCATATTTGGCAAAGGCTGTTGCAACTGAAGCAAACAATTCTACCTTCTTCTCTGTATCCTCTTCTGACCTGGTTTCTAAATGGCTCGGTGAATCAGAGAAGTTAGTAAGAAACTTATTTGAACTTGCGCGACAACATAAACCGAGTATCATCTTTATAGATGAAATTGATTCTCTATGTTCTTCTCGTTCTGATAATGAGTCTGAATCAGCCAGAAGAATCAAGACTGAGTTCCTTGTGCAGATGCAAGGTGTTGGTAATGACATGGATGGTATTTTAGTACTTGGGGCAACCAATATTCCTTGGGTTCTTGATGCTGCTATAAGAAGGCGATTTGAGAAGCGTATTTACATAGCCCTACCTGAGGAACATGCTCGTTTGATTATGTTTAAGTTACATTTGGGAAATACCAGACATATGTTAACAGAGCAAGAGTTGAAGACTTTAGCTGCAAAAACTGAAGGCTATTCTGGTGCTGACATTAGCATTGTTGTCCGTGATGCTTTAATGCAACCTGTACGTAAAGTTCAATCAGCAACTCATTTTAAGAGAGTGACTGGGCCTAGTCCAACTGATCCCAATCTTATAGTTAATGACCTTCTCACTCCCTGTTCTCCTGGTGATCCAGGAGCTATTGAGATGACATGGATGGAGGTACCTAGTGACAAGTTAGGAGAGCCACCAGTTACAATGTCAGACATGTTGAGGTCCTTGGCAACGTCTAAACCAACTGTCAATGACGATGATATGGTAAAACTGAAAAAGTTTATGGAAGATTTTGGCCAAGAAGGATAAGCAAATTTGTTCATATTGTAATGTTGTGTTTGTCAATAAATTATTCACAAAGCACTAGATAGATCTTTATATATAAATTCATACATCAAGCAAGAAATTTGTGACATTTTTTGTTTTACTTTCTGCTTTGCACACTAATCCAAATTAATGAGAGCCAATATGCTTATGCATGTGTTAACATATAATCAAAAGCTGTAATTATCTGTGTAAATTTGAATAGAATAGATTTTACTTCCCAGATTATGATAGTTCATACCAGAAGATGAAAATGTATTATGTACCTATATTGAAAAAATCTAATGGTCAACATGTTATAGTTATTTTCTTTATTTTCTTTACCAGGTAGGAAATGAATATAATACTTTTATTGAACACAATGTTTTATTTTAATTTATTGGTAAGTTATAAAAGCTATGAGGTAACTGCACATTTTACATATATGATGTCTTAAAATGTTATCCTTAAATTTTTCATTTCATAATAATATATATTCTGGTCTTATTTCAAGGATTTGTCTGTTCTGGGGATTGTAGGCTCTAAAATACAAATATGTCTGTTTTAATATCCTGATTATTAGTGATATTCGATATATTGTATATATATACATATAAAACAGTTCTAAAATTTGAATAAATTTTGTTTAAAGATAATGTTTAACTTTTCAAGTTTATCCAGATAGATTTAATGCCTGAGAATTATTTTTTCTAACACTGAGCAAAGTTAGATTTTTTTAGGTTTCACTATATAAATAATAGCGATTAAGTAATTTAAGTAATTCAAATACGAGATATATGTTATGTTAACCTTTTGAAATAATATAAAACTGATTTAGAACCTTTATATTATTTTATATAGACTGTGAATTTCGGTTATTAAGACTAATTTAAAAATATGTTTTATCTCAAAAACTTATTAGTGTTTTATGTACTCTTATTTTCTTTTTGTAACATTAAATGAATATACAGATTTTAAATAAATTTACCGTGTGTTTTGTTTATACAAACTTTATTTTTAAGTTCATAAATTGTGTTTAAACGCAAATATGAAAGAGATGTTGAGTTTAAGGCTGCATTTCTATCATAGATATGGCTCTATTCATTAATGCTGTGTAAAGAGGTCTATTTATTGGTAGTCGTGAATCTCGCTTACATCGCCTCGCATACATCTCTCGCTTGTTTTTCATGTACACGGACTTCCCTTGGTTTAGCACTTTTCTTTCTGAGCTGCGCTGAGCTATGCTAGGTACTTAAATATAGTTATCCTAGTGGTGGTAGTCCTCGCATATACGACTTAACTTCCACGTACAGGCTCCAGGTACAGCCCTAGTGATAACGTAGCCTCATACACTAAGATGTAAATTTTATAAGTTATGTAACTGCGTACAGACCGCCCACATCATTTTCATCATTCATTGTTCATCTTTAGGACATGTTTTAAAACTTGGAAGGCTGAAAATTATTCCATGAGAAAATATTTCTAGTATTTTTTTTAAACCTCTGCGCCCCTGTAACAGTGGTAACGTACTCGGCAGCAAGCGGGAACGATTTAGAGTGAAATGCCATAACCAGATCTACCGATGGCGACTAGTCTCTTATTTCAGTTAAGTCAGTATTTCTAGCACATATTCTATATAGGTAATTTTTTGGTTTCCACACTATAAAATAACTATGCCAAATCTCACTCCTCCACGCGTGCAACATGCTTAAAAAGGTACAAAGTTTTAACGTATTAATACAGTGTAACTATGATATAACGAGCTTCAATATAACGAATTTCTCGATGTAAGGAATTTTTCGAAATCCCCTAGAACGGCTCGAAAGAACTAATGCAAAATATACCTCTACATTACGAATACATTTATCAAAAACGTCTATAATGCAGAATTATAGATAGAAGACATTATTTAATTCCATTTAACGATTTTTTTCTACTTAAGGGGATAGAGTAAGTCAGCTCAAATTCTAATTTCGTCCCCACTTGCCCGCGCGTCGTATGCTATGTACCGACATGTTTGTAATCACTAATACTGTAAGTAGAAAGGTCGTTAGACACTTATTTCATTAGGTTTATCATATTTATGCCTGTTTCTTAACGCCAAGCCAGTCGCTTCTTTTTTTTATTACGGTTATTTCCCATTTTAATATTACGTCGTCCTGTTGCGTAATGTATATTCTGATCGTAGGCGACACAACCTCCCCGTTCAAAGGCCGAAGCGAAGTGACCAATTACTGTCTAAGAAGTGACTCCAGGAATCACGCTTCAAAAGGCCGATAGTTTAGGTAATTTCTTTTTACAGTGAAAATAATGGTATAATAAAAAAAGTAAATAACATAAGCACTGCTTTATAGTTAGTTCAGTTAGTATGCAAAGTTTCATGATCTTATTTAAAGTATTTTATGAATAACAGCGGTTTATTGTTTATTTTGGAGGTAACTTTGGATTTTTTTTCCATCGAGAAAATTTTACGAAATCGTGTTTTCGTCTAACATAATCCTTAACATTAATTCTCAACTTTACCATGTATGTATTTCAAAATTAATGCTGCAATATTTTCGGCATAACGAAGGATCTTGCTAAGCCATTTGAGATTAATTTCCCCTTAAAACCTTGATGTAAATTCAGACAATAATTCTATTAATTATTCCCACTTAATCTATACACATAATAAATCTGTAGAAAAGTCGTGTCAGTAATTCTAATATTTCCTGAAAAACAAGTTCATGGGACTAAATAAAGGATAATGAAGCCAAATTACTGGTTTTTAGAATTTTTGTCTGTCTGTACATGATACACAGATACAAGCAAAAACTGCTGGAAAGATCTACATGAAATTTTGTATGCAGGCAGTTAGTAGCCCGGGGCTACTTACAGGCTACTTTTTATCCGATTACGGAACTTCAAAAAAGGAAGGTTAAATATTCCCTTCCTTTAGATGTTAATTATCTATTATGATTTTAAATTAGTTTTAACCTTTGTTTAAATTTATTAATTTATGTATATGCAGGATGACTGGTATTTTTTCAAATTAATAGCATATTTATAAATAAAGTTTTAAATTAGTTTTAACCTTTGTTTAATAATTTGAAACTACGCCGACGATTTACATTTTAGTTTTCAAAACAGCGCTATCTATTATCAAATAGAAAAAGTACATTTTGCCTTCAGTAACTAATTAAATAAACTAAATTTATATGTTAAAATAACAAGATAAATAAAATTATTTAAACGTCCTAACGTTTTATTAGATTTTTGTTATTAGTGACGTTTATCAAAAATATGAAAATCTATATGGTTTTTAGTTTAATTACTAATGTAATGTAAATTGATTTAAATTGATCTGCCTGCAATTTTTGCAAAATTCTTACCCTTATAGTTCGATCAAAGAGATTTTTATACGAGTATATGTCATGGCCAAATCGTATCTTAAAGTAATAAATTTCGTGAAATAGTAGTAGTAATTAACACTGTTTGTAGACCACGTCATAATACATTTGTCCAAATTAATGAATGTATTAATGAATGAATTATGACGATATTAAACTCATATAACTAAACAATATTGCTATTTCATGATATTATGGTCATATCGTCAAGTAGTTTTTCACTGCTAGCGGCGCTGATAGCATATTTTAACACAGTTTATAGCAGAATCAATGTTACCTTAATAAATAAATGTTCGCGGCTTTCCAGTCGCACCCCAACCTTCTATCGCTGATATTACTAGATAGCATAGTTTTAGCTTTCAGTGTACTTTTGTAATATGAGTGTTGGTGTTTGTGGTATTAAATATTTTTTCTTTCTTTCTTTCTTTCTAAATCAAAATCTGAACTCTATTATGACGAGTTGTCTAGTATATCTAAAAAAATATACGCCAACTCATTGTAGATAACACTCTGTATAAACAATCCGCAACAAAAGACACGTCTAGTAAGTTTGCAGGATTTCGACCGAATGTATTAATTTGTGTATTACTGTATCTGTGTAGTGTGTGATACCTTCAGATAATGAGTTTAAAATATTATTGTACCTGAGTGCATGTCTTTCAATATCGCTCTCTATTAAATTTAATGAACTAAAATACACAGCGCACATTATTTTATCTTTAAGTATCTGTTAGCACCGACCTATGTCGTAAGATGGTGACAATATAATCTGCTCATATAAATATGTCTCCAGATACAAATATGGCATAAGGTTTTACCTGCAGATAAATAGAGGATAGTCGCTGAAAAAAAATGTGATTATATTCGCATCGGTCCTGTGTAAGCTTTGTATGACCTTTCATCCAAATTCTTCGCCTTTTAGTATATGCCAATGCAACACGTGCCACAAAATAAAAATCAGAATCCTGTTCTGACGAGCTGTCTAGCAAATCTAGAAGCAATATACGCCAACCCATTGTAGGTAACAATTTGTAGGTAACATAAATTATCTGCGCTGAATGTCTTATTTCATAGATATATTGAAAGATATGCGCTCAGATACAAATATCATGTCGTATTTGAGTAGTGTATTGACTCGCTTAAGGAGTCATAAGAGCAATTCGTATATTATCGTATCTGTATAGTGTATGATACTTTCAGATAATTATCTGAATGTATGTTTTTATACGCAGTTAAATTTTAACGTATCTGCGAAGTCTGTAACTCGCTTTACATATGCTTAGTTGTCCGTTCAAGGTCTGCAACTTAAGTGGAACGATATCATTTTGTTAAAACGAATTTATTTGTGTTTCATATCTATACTACAGCTCGAGTGATACGTACGTTTTAAAACGAATGAAAACAGTGAAGTTTAATTTTTAAAATGGAAAAAGTGGATATTATTGTTATTGGAGCTACGGGTTTTACGGGAAAACATGTTGTGAAACAATTGACAGCCTTTAGTAAACACTCAACATACAAAACTATTACTTGGGGTGTCTCAGGAAGATCAACAGAAAAAGTGAAACTCTTACTAAAAGAAATTGCAGAAAGCGGTGCATAAATTACTAAATTATTCGTTATAAAAATTGTAACAAATCATGGTCAACGTTCAAATAAACTATGAATGTTTATGTTTATTTGTGCGTATTTGTTTTTGTACGATGTTTTAAGACAGTAAGAAATAAAAAAAATTGTTTATTTTTTTCTAACTGTCTTATGTTATTTCTTCTTACTTTTCTTAAACATCAAGGGTATGTTCCGAAATAGAACCCAATATACTGGGCAATGCAAATGACGTCATAAATCGACGCCTTACTGGTGATTCGTTATATCGAATATGGCGTCAATTAATGACGTCATTTGCATTCGCCAGTATACTGGCAACATTTCGGAACATACCCCAAGTACCTAATAATTATAGATTGTCAAATTATAGTAGTTGTTGTTGATGTGTGTAAATTTACTGCTTTTTTATTGTAGATGTAGACACATCGAAAATTCTTACAGTAATAAGCGATGTTAAAGACGAAAACGCTCTGTCTAATGTTACAAGAAGAGCTAAAATTATTATAAATTGCACAGGCCCAAATACTCTTCTAAGCGAGTTTATTGTGAAGGCTTGTGTACAAACTGGCACTCATTATGTTGATATTTCGGCAGAACTTTATGTAAGTTATGAATACCTATTTTTATTAATATAAATTTTATGTGTAAGTTATTAATGGTATCAAATATATATATAATAAACTGTAATATATTTGTACCTTATCATCGATGTTGAACACGCGCCTCCGCTAAAACTTACAATAAGCATATTGTAATAATATTTATGTAGTTATTGATTAAAAAAAATATTATCACATTATTAATACACTATAATGAATGAATCTGAGTGACAGGGTGAGAAACTGTGTGATAAAAGAAGAGTGTAGTTTGCAAGATGATGCAGTGACCAGGATTAAGAAAGGAATGCTTCGGTGGTTTGGTCATGTAGAAAGAATGAATGCGGAAAGACTGACAAAGCAAATATATGTTGCAGAAGTGAATGGAAGAGTCGGAAAGGGACGTCCTAGGTGGAAGTTTGTCGACCAAATTTGTGATATAATAAAAATGGGTCAAATTAAGAGTACCCTTAACCGACGAGCATGTATGCGTAGGTATATGGATGTGGAAGAGGCGAGAAAGGTATGTCAGGATCGTGCTAAATGGAAGTCTGTAGTCTCTGCCTACCCCTCTGGGTGACAGGCGTGAGTGTTTATGTATGTATGTATGTATAATACACTATAATATTTCATAAAAAAAACGAGATACTTCGTTCCACTGTTAGTAAACTCTTGCATATAAAGGAGTATATTGCGATGAACTTTGCTTGCATCTTACGCAACCACACTTCGGGCGGCGCACATAATATTATATCAGAAGTAGCCCGATGTGTCATGGCGTAATTTAGTTTTAGTTTATACGTAAGGTTGTCATGTAAGGTGGATCCCCTAACACTAGCGCCGTCCCTAATAAAAGCCATTTCTTCTTTTTACTTAAAAAAAAGGTTTCCGGTCGTCTCAACTACAAATATTGTCAAATAAAAAATTCTTCGTTATAATAGGGAAATACATTCAAATATTAGCACACAGCTCTTTCAGTGTTAAATTTAAAATCAAAACATGTATGCAACTCCAACCAATCTAAGTTTACAATAATACGACTGTGTACCGTAATTGAAATTAATTACATTTACTAATTTTATGATATTAATCTGACATGTTTTAGCATATTTTAAACGTGTATAGAGCATACCACAAATTAGCTGAAGAAGCGAACGTGCTAATAGTTCCAAGTTGCGGATTTGCATCGATACCAACATCAACTGGTCTTACCTTATTGGATAAACATTTTAAAGGTAAGATCATTTACTTCAATTATGTATATTCAAAGTTGTGTGTAGTGTTTGGAATTGGAACAATAAATATTAAATCTTCATTAGATTTTCATTACGACGGCTAAAAAGTGCTAGTGAAAGTACATTTGGACCGTTTTCTTTAAATTTATGCTACGTACTACACTGTGAATATAATGATTCTTAACCGGTTTAGCTCACAGTAACAGCTCATAGTTATGATGAATTATATATAATATTATCATATCCGTACAACTATTCGACTCTATGATTACAACAATGTAAAACGCTGCTATTACATGGATTTACCGCGTTTATGTGATAGAGCAATGCTGCATCTGTACCTGTTGTAGCACACGTTTGCTCCGTGTTGTAGCACGAATGGGTTGGCTCGACCGGGGAAGGATCACACTTTAATAGAATATCAGCGTAAAACACACTACGATTGCGACCCCTATTCTATAAAAATGGTAATTAAAATAAAGTAATTTAAAATTAGTCGTGGGGACTACATTACAACTATACATAATTAATTACTTTTACTCGTGTTAGTGACACGATTAGCGAAAATATCGAATACAATTTCTGATATACGGGACAAAGAAATCACATTCAAATGTCTGCATTTTGTTTACGTAAAACGCAATTACATATCGATTTTGTTTCGGTTAAGATTGATACATATGTCCAAGGCAGTAAAGGTGGACTACAAAAAACGCAATCTAATCAATCAAATCTGATGTAACGGTTGGTAGACCACAAATCCTCGCGAAAGAACATCGATTCCTACCAAGGATGATACGTGAGGCTATTGAAATTAAAAAACATCCTAATTTCAATAGAGAAGGAGGCTGGGTACTACCACCTGCTTGGGATCCTATAATAAATAAAATTAAAACTAAACCCAAGCATACCACTGCAAGACTTCAAAATACAGTTAGTTCATTCTGCGTAGATCGGACCAAAGACAATAATTAAAAAGCTGAAGGTACTCCGGGTTAATTTTGACATCGGGACGTCAGTCACCTCAGTCCCCCGTGACCATGGGTGCTGGAAAGCACCCGAAACGTCGGGTATTAAAATTAATATAAATAAAACGCGATAAAATCCGTAAAAGTAGTTTTAATCAAAACAAGACAAATTAGAAATAGCTTGGTAGCGATCACCCTATTATTTCTATACTCGGCTTGTGGCTTGGTGAGCACATTCCTTCAAGGTAATCCCCATCTAGGGTTGCCAAGTCTTAAAATCGAAAAGCCGGACAGACCAGTCAGCTTAGCCGGATATTTTGGTAAAAATGCCGGACACCCTTTATTTTTGTCTTAGTAAAAGATATTTTTTAAAGTAAAACAATGCTTTTTATCATTTACCGTAAAATCTTCTTAAGTGTTAACGAAATAACAATAATTGAATAAATCAGTCTTCTTTATTATTAATTATTCAATATTAATTACAATAATTGCAATAGTATGTATGTACTCGTAAGTATATGAAAAATGTAAAGAAATGGTCAAATTTAAAAACCCTAACAAAAGCCGGACACCGTCTAATTTGGCCGGACACACAACCAAAAAACCTGACTGTGTCCGGCTTTATCCGGACGTCTGGTTACACCATTCCCATCGCTAGTATCTATATACTATTATAAAACTCGAGTTTGGCTTTATTAATCGATCACAAGCTCAAACTATCCATCACTGAGCTGGATGTACCGCTATAAGATGGGTTCGACATTTGAGAAAAAATCGCATATTTTTATTAAAATTTACAATTACATAATTTCATAAAGATCTGAGTGAATGAATTGCTTGAATAACTTTAAATACTTCTTGTTTAATTATTTTAAAGTCAAATAAAAACTTTAACATAATAATTCAGACGTTTGTGAAGTTAAGTTTTATGTATAAATAAGTATTTATGAATTTTCAAAATATACATCGACAGGGTGCACATTTGTTCTAATATCTTTTTTATTTCAGGTTCACTGCACACTGTCGAATGCTATATAGAGTTACATATACCAAGAGAATGTTACTTCGGGGGACGAAATAAAGCTCTAGTACATTATGGGACATGGGAGTCTTTTGTTCATGAATTGTCTAATATGGAAAAATATAAGAATTTGAAGAAATTAACGTTTCCAGAAACACACAATGAGCCAGTACCGAGAGAATTAAAAAAGTATGATAATTTTTAGTGCAGTGCATTTTTGGTAGTAATTAGATCTTTTTTTTTAAAAGTTTTAATCGTATTTTTTTTAAATATCGATACTACTACGAATACTCTAGAATTTTCTACTGTGACGTGGAGGACGTTTACAATATGCTGTTTATTCCTAGGCAGAAATATTCAGACCAGATACCATTATTTGTAGACCATACAAAAAATTGTTCCGGGGCCTATTACCATGATAAAACTTAAAAATGCAAAAAACATTTTTGTGAACTTTGTCCTTGAATAGTTTTTTGCAGATGTGGTATCGATGGGGACTTTTCACATTTCATTTACAATAGTGTTCCCAACATTTATAACAGTTTTAGAAGTCTATTTTGACCGGACTAACTGTGACACGGGTCAGTCGAATTGTCATACTCTCTTAGCCTTGCCTTAGCCAAAGCCATGCCCATTTATATGTATATTTCGTTTTTGATTTGTAGAAACAAGTATTATTGGTTTGGTCACGGAGAATCATATGACTATCATGTTTTTTGGAAAATCATACGACTAGCATGTTAGGTTATGTACATTTAACATGTTTCCTCCTTTTTAGTTAGACCCTGAAAGCTCACTGCTGGGTATGGGTTTCTTCGTTGCCGGAAGTATTTGATTTAATCGTATCGTTTGGTAAGCGTATTAATAATCACCGTACCAGACGTCTCGTACTTTTAACGACCGCTATCTTTACGAAGCTTTATGATTTTTGTGGCATTTCTCGTCTACATCACTTATGATAACGACCGGACTATATGTGGTGATGGATTTTTATATTTCGTCATTCGCCATTACACGGCACTTTCCACTTAACATCTTTAAATATTTAAAATACGTATTTTAAGCCACATAAACCAGTTAATATTTTGTCAGTCGCATTGGAATCCTATATGCTAATCTACGGACATATAGTTGCAGTATAAAAATTGGTAGATATTTGAATTTATTTAATATCGATTAGGCATTGATTTCAAAAGGAAGGATACGCCCATCTAAATATTTTACTAATTACTTATCCATACAAGAAAAAGTAGCGCATATGTCATTATACAAACTTCATATCACGACGTAACTAGGGTCGGATTTCGTAGTATAATTATCGTATTTGTACCATTATTTCATAGTGTGTATGTAAGTAGTATCGTCATAATATCAAGCCGACTTGTATTATTATTGGGTCCTTTTACTTTTTAATATTAACCCTACGATATCGAGAATTTCTGTATTAATAATAATAATAACTCTTTTATTTCAGACATAGATCCATATAAGTTGTTAGTAATACATTGCGCACCTTAAATACTAATGTTAGTTCCTCAAATATGAGTAATCATTTTTCAACAAATCGTTCCAATAATTTAGCATATGTCCGTCACATCTTTCGGCGAACACGTTCATTATACTGTTGCGGCTGCCACGTATTCTGCTCAACAGCGAGTACACTCTTTTACGCATTATTGGGAAGAAGTCATCTGTTCGTGCTTCTGCAAACATCCCTGATGCGCTACAAAATCGAGGCAGCCCCAACAGGGCCCTGAAAATGTTATTGTATACTCGTACGTTGTCCATAAGCTGCATGCGTAAAAAGATTGACAGTAAGTTTTAAACAGTGTAATCTTAACTTCTTTGCTGCACCGCGCAAACCTACGAATCAACATATTTCCACGGAATGACAGTGCCTTTCGCTCCCGCTCGATGTCCATATCATCTTTACAATTTTCAGTTATGTAGTAGCCTAGATATTTAAACTCTTTTACTCTTCCTAGGGCAGTACCATTAAGCACAATATGAGGCACATTCTTTGGCACATTTCTTTTCATTCTTCACTTTTTTCCAGCTCTAAATACCACAAACTGGCTTTTCTTAGCATTGTATATTAAACCATATCTAACAGCATAATCCTCACAAACGGGTAACAATTTTCTAAGAGCACTTACAGACGGGGCGAGCAGCACCATATCATCGGCGTAACTTAAATTGTTTAAACATACTCCATCTACATAGCATCCGATATACATGCTGCTCAATTCACCGATTAGGTCATTAATGTACAGGCTGAATTGGTTCGGTGAACTTAAACCCCCTTGTCTCACCCCATATTCTAGCATGTACGAATCAGAAAACGTATCTGCCCATTTGAGATTATTTATTTGATTGTTGTACCAATACTCGAATATGGCAACAAGTTCAGCAGGTATCTCGGTTTTGCTCAAATTACTCCACAATATTTCATAGGACACCATATCGAAGGCTTTTGACAAGTCTAGAAAACAGTGTGTGTGTATGTGTATTGTACATGAGTACTGCGTTTTAAAAAAAATTTATATTAGCTCCCTTTCTGGTCAATTAGTGCTCGATCGAAGCATATAGATTGTATCCTTCATAAAACTATAATGTTGGGCTACCACGATAAAAACTCTATGCTCCAGAAGCAATCGGTTTAAAAATAGAATTTCAAAATATTTTATGATTCGGATTTTCAGTTTCATTTAAATAGGTATAGCTTTTTTGTAATCTTTTCGTTTTACCCTTATTGAATATAAAATATATTGGGTACGAATATTTAAAATTTAGCTTACACTAAGTTCTTTAGATAAAAATAAAACAGAAATAGAAATAAAACCGTCAAAAAAGTCTATGTTATCTATACGTTTCGGTATAGTTAAACTAGACGCGTGCCGCCATAATTATGACGCGCCCAAATTATATCAAACATGATATAATTTTTGACAAATAGTATAATTTTATTTTCCTTGTACAATATTTTAAGGGTCTGAATCCAACCCAGGCCTAATCTTGGTAACGTAACTAAACTGACAAACTGTAAAATAAAATTTTAAAAATGCGTTTATATAATTATTTATATAACAAAATTAATATAAGGTTATTTACCGATGACACGATATCTCATGTTCCATTTTAATCTTTGTATCGTAATTTTTGCATCCTTTTACCACGCAACTAGGCATATTTATGACAGGCAAATCTGTCCTGCGCGTGCACCATTGAAGACCGATTCGCGTTGGCCCTTTTTTTTTTTTAACATGGGGAAATGCCTACGCATACCCGCCTCGCGGGGGCAAGGACGGGTTATGTCGGACTCGCACCGACTAAAACCCCATGGTGTTCCACCTTCGTCGCATATTGGCAGGGCTACGGGAACGCTTTCGCATACTTCCGCGGCCCTACCAGCGACTGCCGCCCCATGGCAGCACCTCCTCGGGAGAGGAATATTCCTCCCCGTTCTCCTTCCCAAGTAAGGCGCACCAGAACACATGGCACGCCTTCCTCCACGGCCTCCAATTACATCTGCGCAACAGACGCCCCCGCGTCCGATGCGCGAAGGCCATGGGGCCAGAAAAAACGAGCACTTAGAAGTACTAGCCTTCCCGACCCCAGCGGCGGATCCGGTCTATGGACTCCGCCGCCAACCAAGATTCGGCTGCGGAGGATAGGGAGAGCGGCGCCTCGCAATACCGACAATCCTCTCCCCCCGCAGCCCCATCACCACCGCATCAACGGTGCGGCCCCGTTTGAGTCGCGGAGGATAGGGCGAGTGGCGCATCGCCATACCAACACTCCTCTTCCTCCGCGACTCCACCTCGGCTGCAGCGGTAGAGGGTGCGCGGAGTCCCCACTCGCTGCAGTCCACCAGCACACATCCGAAGTGGGCCCAAGCCCACCGGCCCTCCCGGCCCTTCACCTCGGGCCAGCCACGTGGGTTCCTCTTTGTTCACCGTGGGAGACCAAGCCACGGCTACTAAGCCCCCCGCCACGACAAGGCGGGAACCCGTTCGGGGGGGGGGGGGTTCGCGTTGGCCCTAAACTGTAATTTTAGGGCCAGCGTACTATATAAGTCAATGTTGGCAGTACGCTAGTAATATATAAGTCAATGCGATTAGGGCTGATTTTTCAATCGTCGGGTAAAAGTTATCTAACAAATAAATTATATTGTGACTGAACGAAACAATTGAACTATTTTATTCATACAATCCCTGGGTGTCGTATGAGGTGACAGCGGAAGCTTTAACAGGAGATGGCAGCTGCATCTTCCTCTTCTTGATACAACTCAACATAAAAAAACTGCGGTTGCCTGCCCGTCTAACAAGCGTGGCAACTATGGCAAATACCCTCATTGTGAGGCAATCTATGGGGAAGCCTATGTTCATATGGACATTTGATAGCCTGTAATAATGATCATAATGATTCATACAACTGTAATTTTTAATTTATTTATGTCAAATTTTACTCCTGAAACCCGCCCTAAATGAATTTAATATTCACACGGTTGTTGCAAAAATGTTTCATTTTCACATGTTAAAAAAAATATAGCTCTTTTTTGAGTTTGTATCAAATTTGTGTACAAATAACTTTATCCAAAATTTACCGTGACATGTGTCATATCCCACAAACGCGTATTACAGAAAATAATATAATATATACACCTATGAAATACAATGGTAAATACAAAGGTCGCGTATTCGCAATATACGTTAAGCTGTCATCTTGACTTTAAATGTTTTTATACGCCGTTTTTGTGTTCATTCGAGGTATTAAATCCATGGTTATCTATAAAAGTATGCGAAACCTTAGAGCAAGAACATATTAATTGGACCAGTATCCTATCACATAATAAACTTTTCAAGTTGTGGTATAAGCGGAAAGGTCAATATTTGTTTAAGGTTGTTTTGAATTGAGCTCTTGTTACAAAACCACAATTAAGATTTCTCAATAATTTTAAATATATTATAGTTTCTATCTATGCTTCAAAATTTTAACTACTTTTCACAGACTAATTTATGTTAACTTCTACTATATTTTCTTCTAATATTAAAATTATCTATAATATTTTTTTTATTTTTTTAACAAATGTGTTTAATTTTAATTTATAATAACGGGCTACTGTTACTGTAAGTTTATAACATATTCGCCGATAGTATACATTTCTAATCGTTTCCACCCTTTTTCTATCGAGATTGCAGTGAAATTTAATATGATTTTTTATAATGCACACAATTATTGGACTTTTTCATATACATAATACCTTTTTCATGTACATAACACGAGACCGGCGTGTTGCTCTGTGCGTAATCCTAATAATTATAATTTCGTCGATTATAAACGCAATGTGTACAAACTGTTTTCGATAGTTAAGTTAAAGAAGCAGCGATACTTAATGAAAATCCGTTAAAGATTAATACAATCCGATTTTTATGAGTGGCATAATAATTAAAGATATTATTCTTAGTATGACAACAATATATAGCATGTATTCCTAGTTTTCCATCATAGCAGTTTCAATCCGCGACGCGGCCTGCGTGGGATCAAAAACTGTTTTCTGTCGACTTTCCCAAAGTAAAAAGTCCCATCGAATGTGTTAGAGTAGAGGAATTTTATTTTATTGAATATATATTACATGTAATGCTTATTAAAAGTCTTTTTTACTTTATCCACGGGTTCAGAAAAAATCTCTGTCTTTTTTTCTCAAATAAATTATACAATGAGAAACAATCTATTTACAATATATATATTTAAGAACCTGCTCGGAAGCGACCTCCTCATTCCTAGGGGTATTTATTAACCACGTGTTCGTAAATATTATAATAGTTATTCCTAGACATTTCCTGTCTATATTTCATAAATAAATAAATACGTTTCATGCGCATTTGAGTTAAAAATTACAAATATCTCAATATTTCTACAAACTTTCACTTTTAGTATAGATTTAATAACACAATTTACGTTTTAAATGGAATTTGGAGTTAATAACAATTTTTATTTCAGGTCATTTTTCCATAAACACGAGGGCAAATGGTGGTTTTCCTACCCAGGACCTGACACCGAAGTGGATTTTATGGCACAGATGTATTTTAAAGATAACATGGGAAAGAAGCCCATACATTTCAAGGCCTATACTACAATGCCTCTGATAATCCACTTTTTCTTTATTATTCCTCTAGTATTTATTGCTTATTACGCTTGTCGATTGAAGTGTTTTAGACACTTGATGTGGAAATATCCTGGTTTCTTTTCCTTCGGCTTAATGTCACATAAGGGTCCAACAGAGAAATTAAGAAACGATCTGAAGTATACATTTACACTGACAGGAAAAGGAAAAGACTCAACTGCCAAACCTTATACAGTAAAGGTACGTATTATAAAATAGTTGTTTAAAGCAATTGCGTTATTAGTTATGTTAAATAAATAAACATATTATTATCATTTGGGGTATTAAATGGGGCTCTACACTCTATTGTGGAAAGTCAGAATGTGCCAAAAAGGCACATATGGCAATTAACAATGCTGTATTAGTCCCTACTTTAACGTATGGTAGTGAAAGTTGGGTGTGGCAGAAGAAGCACGAGAGTAGAATAAACGCAATATAAATGCGGTTGTGATTCAGGTTCAGATTCAGCCCTAACATACACCTTGTATATATGTTATGTAAGGAGTGCTTCGGTGGTTTGGTCATGTAGAAAGGATGAATGAGGAAAGAGCGACTAAGAAAATCTATGATCCAGAAGTGAACGGCAGGGTCGGAAAGGACTTCCTAGGCGAAAGTTTACCGACCAAATTGGCGATATGTTGAAAATGGGGAAAGCTAAGAGTATGGTTAACCGAAGAGCATATATGCGTAGGTATATGGATGTGGAGGAGGCGAGAGAGGTGTGTCAGGATCGTTCCAAATGGAAGTCTGTAGTCTGCCTACCTAGGTGACGAGAGTGATTGTATATTTATGTATGTATTTATTTATTTCCGTAGTATTCTCGATTTGAGATGTATAAATATACATTTATATGAATGTATATATATATATATATACACATATATACATACACACACACACACACACACACATATATATATATATATATATATATATATATATATATATATATATATATATATATATATATATATATATATATATATATAAAAGTGAGCAGAACAGATATAAGTGAATAAAATAAATACTGAACAAAAAACAATATGTACATAAACTTCATATTGTATAGGTAGGTTTTGAGTCAAATAAATTATTAAGGTTTCATAATATGCGAATCTGTCGCAAGTCAACACTTTTTAACCATTGAAGTAATATATGTATTTTTAAAAATTGAAGTTGAAGTAGCAATAATACTTAAACTTGCATGTTTTCAATAAACATTTCATCGACTGTGACTGTAAGGCAAAAATACTCTTATATCCTTTGATTATATCCAATCTTCTGGTTGAGGGACGAGGTCTGGCTAACTGATAACGGAATATCGTACCAAAATGCATTACTTTATTGTACCTTACACGTCTTCAAAGAATTCACTATCTTCTGAAGATGGTGAATTTTTGCAATTTATGATAGTAGAAGAGTTCATAATGATTAATTTCTATAATTCAAATATTATGCATTTTCTAGAATGAAAAAATACATATGGTAAAACATCTTTACTCGTTTAAAGATAATAGGATCAGATCAGATCCTATTCAGTACTTTTTACTCATATTGTACAATTCCTTACACTATTTTCTGAAGATGGTGAATTATAGATTTACACTATTCAAGTATGATTTGTTTTCTGGTATGACACAATACATGTGGCAAAAATATTTACTCGTTTTCAGATAACAGGATCAGATCCTGCATACCATAGCACCGCTGCAACTGTTTTATTTTCTGCCGTGACTATTTTATTGGAGAGAGAGAAAATGCCAAAGTGAGTCAATAAATTATTATTTTAAATAGAGTGTGGCCGTGGTAGGAAAAGGGGAGATCTCCCGCCGGGCAAGGTGTTCTGCCCGGGGAGCGGCCAACACTCCATGTGATAGTTCGGAGATGTTCTATATATACTGTTTCTGATTCGGAATGTTGATAGCGTGATTTAGACTTCGGTGTATTTCGATTGTGGCGCGACGACAGCGCCGCTACATCACCCCCTGCTCAGACCGGAGGTCGATAGTGCAGTCGAGTTGTCGACGAATGTGCAAGTGCCAGGAGATTGCATTGAAGTCTGCGGTGAATCGAGAAGAAGGCAAGTAATCTGCGAGAGTGCCGTGAAGCAGAGGCGAGCATTAAGGCTCAGAGCCGTGCCGAACACTGTATAGCGCAGAGAGTAGCTTGAAGGAACAGGAAGCATTATTATTCCAGTGCTGCGATGAACCCTGTGAAGCTAGATGGCTTGCAGGATATGAAGATTGCAGACCATAGCTGCTCGGGAGTGAATAGGTGGGGTATTCTATGACGATGATGAAGCTTGAAGTTACCGAAGGTTGTTGGTTGCGTGTTCAGATCACGTCGGGGTCACCACTGTGGCCGTGGAAGGAAAAGGGGAGATCTCCCGCCGGGCAAGGTGTTCTGCCCGGGGAGCGGCCAACACTCCATGTGATAGTTCGGAGATGTTCTATATACACTGTTTATGATTCGGAATGTTGATAGCGTGATTTAGACTTCGGTGTATTTCGATTGTGGCGCGACGACAGCGCCGCTACAAGAGTAAAAGTAAAAAGTAAAGGAAAAGTAGATTATTAAGTTTCTCTTGGCATTAACAGGGATATGGAGTAGATAGCCCGTCGGGCGGCTCTATTGTGTGCTGTCGGAATTATTTTATTTATTTATTCTTGATCGTACAACTTAACTAAAAGAATTACACCGGGCAGACTTAATGTCTTTTGGCATTCTATCCTCGACTGGGAATTAACCCTATGGAGTGTAGAGGTAAGGAGTACAGACTCTGTATAAAAAAGTGTCCGTAGGAAAGCGCTAAATAAAGGTGGCGCCACTGTAGCTACAGTCTAAATTTTAAAAAACTTTTTATAATTTTTTTATTGCACAGATTTTCACCATAATTATTTTTACAATAATTATTTTATTGCTTTCAAAATTTTTATTTTCAAAATCACTCTCAACGTATTTTACGGCGATTTATCATACCCTGTAGATACTCGAGCGCTGTTGTAGAGAGTTTTTGAACTGTTATTTACTGTTTACGGATGAAAACATCCTATGGGAGATTGTCCTCCTTACCTCTATACTCCATGATTAACTCGTTCTTGAAAAAAATATTTCTCCCCTTGTAGTGGCGTCATAAGAGTATTCACTATCCAATATTAACCAGTGATTATCGTAAAAGGCAACAAAGGAAAACGGCATATAGGTAGCAGTATCTTTTAACAATAACTTAAAATAATAAAAATTTGCGATTGGGAACTCTGACCCGTGGTAGCTCAGATGGTTAGTGCTCGCTGTAAATTTCACAGTACGCGAGCAACTCGAGTTCGACCCCTGTCGGCACCATTGAAATTGAAATTGCAATTTTAAATGCTGATTTACCACGTGATCGGTGGTGAAAGAAAACATCGTGAGGAAACCTGCATGTCTGATAAATAAGAAAAATATATTTTGAAGGCATATGAAGTTCAACGATACGCACTGGGGCAGCTCGCCGGACACTTCCTTGCCCTGAAACCCTCTCAGAAATGAGAGGAGAGTAGGTAGGATATGCTCGACTATGCTGGGTTCATCAACATCAACCTAATCTCAAGGCTGCCCCCATTCACCGGGACGGCTTGTCGCTGTCGCTTGAAAGATGTCGACGATGCGGTATCTCTGATAATTGTTGGTCTTAATAACCCGATCCTGTATCGCACACTTAACACACTTTATTTCTCATGACTTGAGGTTGAACGAATTCGTATCTCTAAGATTTTTTGTAGTGATATCATACGGCAAATAGTATTCTTAAATATTAAAAATGAGGTTGATGATTCAAATTGAAGTGATAATGTAATCATACATTTTTTTTCAGAGGAGGTGTTCTGATGCCAGAAAATGTTTTTTATAACACTAATATCGTAGAAAGATTAAAATGTAATGGAATAAATTACGAAATTGTAGATAATGTACCTGATAATATAAATATAATTGGGTGATTATTAGACATTGGGTGTTAAATAAATATGTATTCCGTAATTTTTTGTATTTTTTTTGGATACGATGAAATTAGACATAGCGTAAATCATTATCAATATCAACCATATTGTAGTAATTCTAAATAACACAAATAGTCTTGCCACTGAAAGTAGTTAGTTAGTACCAGTTCTGGCTCACTGAGTCAGAAGTGGTACAACGTTCGTCGACTCACATTCCTAAAAAAAAAAGGTTTGGCATGCTCTGATCACGATTCTGCGGTCCGTTTTCGCGTAGGATGCACGGTTCCGGAGATGTGCAGATCAATTAACTTTTATCTAATTGATATCCGGTGAGGGCCTCCACCGTCATTAGCGCTCCATTGTTCTTATCTATTTATCTATTGTTAATTGAATACCGTCATTATCTATTCTTCTTCAGCGTGTGCGTCGGATTATCAGTGCTATTGTATTATACTCCTTTTTTCCTAACTGCAACGCTAATCTGAATCATCAATAAAATATAGTACCTAATTTTCTTACAATTTTTATTTACAAAATATAAAATATTATTACTTATTATCTATAAAATAGGAGCGAAACATCTCATCCACTAAAATATCGTTGTACAATGTGTTCCCTGTAAATATACTTGTAAAACTATGCATTGAACATCCCTGAAACTTATATAGCAAATACATTAAGCAATATTCGCCACAAACTGAAGTCCACTCATTCTGAATCCTATCAACATTCCAGTTCCATCTTTTACAATTCCTTTTTAAAAACTCTAGATGATATCGTACAGGTGCTCGTCCGTATGAATCAAAATATTGACCGACGTCATTCGTATCGATATATAAAGCTACCCAATGTGACCCTGGTTTATCATCTGTACCCAAATTGCATATTATATACGTTGGTACGTGGGTGTACATGGGCAGTCTATTAGAAGCAAAAACATTATTTTCTAGACTGGGGTGAATCTTTTTCAGATGTTGTTGTACATCTAGTGTATCCATGATATTACTGCTATTAGTAGATTATTACAGTACAATCTACTCAATGACTAACATAGGAATGATCAATTATAGTGATTTCTAAATATTAAATTGCATTATTTTGTGTTATACAAAACGTATTTGAGTCATCAATACACTGAACAAGACGCAACACGAAGTAATGCTGAGATAAGCAACAGAATGTGAGATAATATTGTTGACGCATAAACTTACTATCAATTCCACTGCAGAAATTCTTTAGATTAGAATTATTACGTACTGGTACTATATAAGACTAAGCAACTGCAGTCTTGGAGTTAGTGTATGGTCGTTTGACCGCAGTGGATCTATCAATACTACATTTGTGTTACTTCAACGCATCAAAGGCCATGGATGTAAGTGTTTATTCTATTGACAAACTTACTTTTCTTTCTGTTATTTTCTTACGTGTGTATGATTTAGTGTTAACAATTTATATTTAAATATTGTGTGTGTATATGATTAAGCCGTGGTAGCTCAGACGGTTAGCGCAAGCTGTAAATTTCACAGTACGCGACCGGGGTTCGATCACCGCCGGCACCAATTAAATTGTTAATTGCAACTTTAAGTGTTTATTCTATTGACAAACTTACTTTTCTTTCTGTTATTTTCTTACGTGTGTATGATTTAGTGTTAACAAATTATATTTAAATATTGTGTGTGTATATGATTAAGCCGTGGTAGCTCAGATGGTTAGCGCAAGCTGTAAATTTCACAGTACGCGACCCGGGTTCGATCCCCGCCGGCATCAATTAAATTGTTAATTGCAATTTTAAGTGTTTATTCTATTGACAAACTTACTTTTCTTTCTGTTATTTTCTTACGTGTGTATGATTTAGTGTTAACAAATTATATTTAAATATTGTGTGTGTATACGATTAAGCCTTGGTAGCTCAGACGGTTAGCGCAAGCTGTAAATTTCACAGTACGCGACCCGGGTTCGATCCCCGCCGGCACCAATTAAATTATTAATTGCAACTTTAAGTGCTTATTCTATTGACAAACTTACTTTTCTTTCTGTTATTTTCTTACGTGTGTATGATTTAGTGTTAACAATTTATATTTAAATATTGTGTGTGTATATGGTGTAAACAATTAATATATATTGTGTACTATAACTAATGTTTGTGGGAAATCAAACAAAATTTATGATTAATTTAAAATTTTATTTTCAAGCAATAACCACTTGTAAAAAACCCACACTTCGTCACAAGAACAATGTAAAATTTAGTGATTATTTTTTGGAAACATATGATTATTACACACATAACGTTTGTTTAAATTTATGACATTTACCAAATCATTGTATTTTAGACATTTGTATTCTTCAATATTAAAAATTCTATCATTCGTCGTCAATACTTTTAAAAATTGTTTTTCTGTTGAACCACCTTTGTATGCGATCACTTCGTCTTTGCGCAAATTTCTAATATACCAAATTTAATATGGGAATGATGTTCTCTTGTTTGTAGGCACATTTTAATTCTACGGTCACATCAAAATATGGAATGCCGTGCACGTGTGTTTCACAATAACGAACAGTTTTTTGTCTTTTGGCGACAAATAATTGAAAGGATAACTTGGCCGAAACAAATGATCGATAAATGCATCATTTTTATTAGATAGTTTTACGTCTAGAATAATATAAAATTTCTCTACTTTGAAAATGTTTATGAGGATATGTAATGTAAAATCCGTCCATGTCGATGATGTATCTAATATTTTTTAGATTTTGATTTTGTGTCATTTTGAACCAAAATGTTAAAAGTATTTACACGTGACTAAAAATATGTTTGTTCCAACAAACTTCACATAACAATGCTTCACTACTTCCCATCATCCCATTTCTTCCTTCTGCTCTTGTCTTCCTGTAATTTAAGTAAACAGAATCACATTCACTAATGATCAACTAATGACTGTCATTGTTAAAAAAGTATTTTTTAACTTTTTCACTTTCTGCTATTGTCTTTGTATTTATGGCTAGGCGCTGCATCAATGCGTGTTGGGGAACTTCACATGCCTTCGAAATTTTCTCAGACATGCAGGTTTCCTCACGATGTTTTCCTTCACCGCCGAGCACGTGGTAAATCAGCACTTAAAATTGCAATTAACAATTTAATTGGTGCCGGCGGGGATCGAACCCGGGTCGCGTACTGTGAAATTTACAGTTTGCGCTAACCGTCTGAGCTACCACGGCTTAATCATATACACACACAATATTTAAATATAAATTGTTAACACTAAATCATACACACGTAAGAAAATAACAGAAAGAAAAGTAAGTTTGTCAATAGAATAAACACTTACATCCATGGCCTTTGATGCGTTGAAGTAACACAAATGTAGTATTGATAGATCCACTGCGGTCAAACGACCATATACTAACTCCAAGACTGCAGTTGCTTGGTCTTATATAGTACCAGTAAGTAATAATTCTAATCTAAAGAATTTCTGCAGTGGAATTGATAGTAAGTTTATGCGTCAACAAGCTTATCTCACATTCTGTTGCTTATCTCAGCATTACTTCGTGTTGCGTCTTGTACAGTGTATTAATGACTCAAATACGTTTTGTATAACACAAAATAATGCAATTTAATATTTAGAAATCACTATAATTGATCATTCCTATGTTAGTCATTGAAAGTCTAGAAAATAATGTTTTTGCTGCTAATAGACTGCCCATGTACACCCACGTACCAACGTATATAATAAGCAATTTGGGTACAGATGATAAACCAGGGTCACATTGGGTAGCTTTATATATCGATACGAATGACGTCGGTCCATATTTTGATTCATACGGACGAGCACCTGTACGATATCATCTAGAGTTTTTAAAAAGGAATTGTATAAGATGGAACTATATATGTATATATAATAAACTATATATGTATGTATATAATAAGCAATTTGGGTACAGATGATAAACCAGGGTCACATTGGGTAGCTTTATATATCGATACGAATGACGTCGGTCAATATTTTGAATCATACGGACGAGCACCTGTACGATATCATCTAGAGTTTTTAAAAAGGAATTGTATAAGATGGAACTGGAATGTTGATAGGATTCAGAATGACTGGACTTCAGTTTGTGGCGAATATTGCTTAATGTATTTGCTATATAAGTTTCAGGGATGTTCAATGAATAGTTTTACGAGTATATTTACAGGGAACACATTGTACAACGACATTTTAGTGGATGAGATGTTTCGCTCCTATTTTATAGATAATAAGTAGTAAGATTTTGTATTTTGTAAATAAAAATTGTAACAAAATTAGGTAATGTATTTTATTGATGATTCAGATTAGCGTTGCAGTTAGGAAAAAAGGAGTATAATACAATAGCACTGATAATCCGACGCACACGCTGAGGAAGAATAGATAATGACGGTATTCAATGAACAATAGATAAATAGATAAGAACAATGGAGCGCTAATGACGGTGGAGGCCCCCACCGGATATCAATTAGATAAGAGTTAATTGATCTGCACATCTCCGGAACCGTACATCCTACGCAAAAACGGACCGAAGAATCGTGATCAGAGCATGCCAAAACCTTTTTTTTAGGCTCGTGAGTCGACGAACGTTGTACCACTTCTGACTCAGTGGGCCAGAACTGGTACAACGTAACTACTACTGACAGTAATAAAAAAATGTAATTTCGTCAGAAGTGTTGTTGCAAAAAGTAATCTAGAGTTTCATAAACCCACCATAACTTGGTCAAGGTGCCTTTAAATTTAAAACATAGATGGTATTTAAATTAAATAGAAAAATTGTGAATTAACGACTAACGTTGATTTACTCTCCCTTACAATGACCTGGATAATGGTGATAGATAAAGCTGACCAACCGGTTAAAATTATGCGACCGACTTAGCAGTATTATACAATAATATTTCAAGATAATATATGTAACAATACTTTGAAGTGACAAGAAAGTTTTGACAAAAACACGACCTTTATAAACTATAGATTATGCAA